TTGCTTCCCACTCCGGTTAATTGAATTTAATCCCACCAGTTGGGCCAAGCCAGGTTGTGTAATGTTTAAAATCCACGATTATGAAAAAAATAAGACTAGAGGGAAAAAGAACCGTATCTGTTCTGGAGTAGAAAGACTATGTGATCATGGTGGCGCAGTGGGTAGAAGACAGTATTGCAGGCTCACTCTGCCAACTGCCAGCAGTTCGATTCTCACCGGCTCAAGGTTATCTCAGCCTTCTGAGGTCAGTAAAAAGAGGAGCCAGATTGTTGGGAGGGGGGCCAATAGGCTGACTCTGTAAACCGCTTAGAGAGGACTGTAAAGCACTGTGAAGTGGTATATAAGTCTAAGTGCTGTTCCTATTGTGAGGGGGGGTATATATACTGACTGCCAGCTGCCAGCAATTCGATAGTTCGATTCTCACCAACTCAAGGTTGACTCAGCCTTCCGTCCTTCTGAGTCAGTAAAATGAGGACCCAGATTGTTGGGGGGCCAACAGGCTGACTCTGTAAACTGCTTCAAGAGGGCTTTAAAGCGCTGTGAAGCGGTATATAAGTCTAAGTGCTGTTGCTATAGTTGAGTGGAGAATTGTATGTAGTCGAGGGAATTGATAAAAAAAGATCACACTTTGGCATCTCTAGCTTAAAAGATCAGAAAGCTCAGGGCCAGGCAGATTACACCCAGGTTATATGTGTTATTCTGCTTAGAATGGGCTGTAAAGCACTATGAAGTGGTATATAAGTGTAAGTGCTATTGCTACAGTTTGTGGAACCAGCATGGACCATTTCCATGGTAGGAAAGATAGAACTGCATATGGGGGGGGGGGTTGTCTCTTGAAAGGCAGCACATGTTGAATAGTAGTCCTTGAATTGCAACTATTTGTTTAGTAAACATTCAAAGTTACAAAGGCATTGAAAAAGTTACTTACAACCGGTCCTCACATATACAACCGTTGCAGCATGCCCATGGTCATGTGGTCAAAATTAGGATATTTGGCAACTGGCATGTATTTAATATGAGGGTTGCGTCATCCCAGGGTCACGTGATTGGCGTTTGCAATCTTCCCAGCCAGCTTCTGACAAGCAAAGTCAAGGGGATTTGCATAATAAGTGCGTGATTCACCTATCAATTGCTGTGATTCACCAACAAACATGACAAAGGTGGTTGTAAAATTGGGCATGATTCACTTAGCAACTGCCTTACTTAAACAATGGAAATCCTCATCCCAATTGTGGTCACAAATAAAGGACTCCCTTTACACCACACTGCATTTTGCTCTTTTCATATTTAGGCATCTCATTTCTATGCTGGGCTTCTTTGTATAGCCTAAAATCTTAACATCTATTCATACAGTTTAAGAAACAAAATGTAAAACACATCCAAATAAAAGGAAACCTATCAACCCTGGAAGTATTATTATGAGATGCCAGGTGTTAAGATAAAGAAACAAATGTTTTCAGCATAACCAAAGTGGCCTCTTAATGGAGTGATGCATATTGGTCTCTGTATAAATATTGCTAGGTGTGCATTTTGACGCAATGAAGCATTTATAAAAGTTTGATGTACTGAAATGTCTTATAAAGGGATGGCTGACTAAATTTTTGTGGGCTTTCTCAACATCCCCAAAGGAAGAATTACTCAGTCCAACATTCCAGCTTCATTTCCTTCTCGGTCAGCTCAAAAATACGTCCATCCATTCAAAATTCTCTCCGTGCTTTTATTCAGCTGGAACCCCAACAGATCTAGCCTTCCTTTCCTGATCTTCTTCCAGTCGTGGTGAGGTCTCATTCAGGAATGAAGAGAGAAGCTCAGTGGATGCTTTCTAGACCAGGAACCCCTAACCCCCAGCCCATGGACCGGTACTGGGCTGCAGCATGCCAGCAACCAGACCACACAATCAAACAAAGCCCCATCCATGGGATGCAGGCAGCACACAAAACCACACATTCCGGTCTGCAGAAAAAACTCCACGGAACCGGTCCCTGGTGCCCAAAAGATTGGGGAATCTCTCTTCTAGACCATTCGTTGCCTGCATGCATTTGTAGTCTTCATGGAGCATTTGGTGGATGGAAGATTAAAGGGAACTATCTGTTAGAATCCACCAATGGGCAGCAGAGAAAAGCAGAAGAGAAGCTTGGGTTGGGTTGGAGGCTGAAAAATCTGTCTTCACAAGTGGGCGAGCAGAATCTGTGCCCTACCATTTCCTCTACATAATGTTATTTCTGCCATCAGTCGCAGCCACCCTTTTCCTTCAAGTCTCTGTGCAATCTTTGTTCTCTCCCACGCAGACCTCTGCAGCTGCTTGGCTGGAAAATGTTTGTTTTCAAACGGGGGGGGGGTGGATGAAGGCATGGAGGAGGAGGAGGAGGAGGAGGAGGCGGGTCATATTTTCTACCTGCACTTATCTCTTTGGAACTTGAATGTTGCTTCTGTGGAGTAAGCAGGTCAAGCATCCACTAGGACAGTGGTGGCGAACCTATGGCACGGGTGCCAGAGGCGGCACTCGGAGCCCTCTCTGTGGGCACATGTGCCGTTGCCCCAGCCTCGCCTCCCCCCACGACCTCCTCTCCAGCAGCCCCCCTGAAGGAGAGTCGCCCTTGAGCATGGGCCACCCAGAGCAGCGCAGCCAAGGACATGGCAGCCAAGCAGCGTAGACAAGACTCTGCCCTCACACCCCATCATGCACAGTTGATGCTGCAGGGCACTGGCAGAGGGCATGACCGCCATGGTGCTGCTGGGCTGCCTGAGCAATCTGCGATGGGCCCTGGAGGCGGTGAGTGGCCCTGCGGGCAGGCAGGGCGAGGGATAGAGGGTGGAGCAGGGACGGGGCCAGTTTTTGGGCACTCGGTCTCTAAAAGGTTCGCCATCACTGCACTAGAAATATAGGACCCCAGCCTCTCAATCTCCATCTCCATGGCCAGCAAAAAGCAAAGAGCTTGAATTGTCGGCTTTACTGGCACATTAGTGATCCATTGCCCTGTAACGGTAGCATCAGTTCCACATTTCTAAGTATGCATCAGGAAAAGTATGTTCCTCTATTTCTAGGCCAAGACACATTGGAATTGGAAGGGACCCTATCTTTTTCACCTCAAGGAAATAAGATTATCTGCTCTCCAAGCATTTTCTGAGCTATGATGATGATAATAACATACTGTGTGCATTTCAGGCCACTTATGTTCGAGACTGCTACTCCAGACATCATTTCTAATTAGGTCCCACTTCAGTAGCTCTGTTGAGATAGGTCAAAAAAAGTGCAGGAAAATACAGGGGAGGCAAAGGGGTTGTTAACTTGGTTCAGCCCAGCTTACAAGATCTACTGAAACAAAAAGAAATCGGCTGGGGAAAATTGTTTTTGCTGGAGGGAAAGGGTTCAACACCCCATCGCCCACTGACAGCTACCTGATCATTATCAGCCCCACCCAATAGCTGATGTTTGCATTTTTTAAAATTGCATGTTAATTGCAAAATACGGCTAATGTTGTGTCTACGTGATCCTTGGGTTGACACCCCCCGTTCATCTAGTCTGCCAGTATCATGAGTTATCTGTCTTGCATAACTTTTGCGTCCTATGTCGTGTGAACTCACGAATCTGCCTCGTGATCAGTGCCAGCCCCACACAGTTTACTGTGTAGATTGAAGAACATATTGCCCATCACCAGCTCCTTGCATTTATAGATGCCATGTGTGAATCCTTCATAGGCATCATCCTCTATCACACTGAAGGATGGAAGTGTAGTTTGAGTGGCAGAAAGGAATGGCCAAAGGTGGCTATCTGTGGTGGAATCTCCAGCTAGACTGGAGGGGAAGGTTGTTAAGAGGGGGCCAAGCTCAGAGTCCTGAATGCTGCTGACCTCATCCAAAATCCCTTATCTAACCATTCCCAAGGAAATGCATTCAGTCTGATCAGTTTCTTGTAAAATAGGTGACTAACAATAAAGCTTCTGCTTGAGACTGTCTACTGTTCTGGTTTCGCTCCTGACATTATCACAGCCTTTTCCTCTCCTTATAGCATCTTTTCCTTAACACAGTGTCCTTATTGTCTAATAGCAATAGCACTTAGGTTTATGTACCACTTCATAGTGTTTTACCCTCTCTGAGTGGTTTACAGAGTCTGCATGTTGCCTCCCAATTATCTGGGTCTTCATTTTACCGATCAAGGAAAGATGGAAGGTCGAGTCAACCCTGAGCTGGTCAGAATCAAACTCCTGGCAGTGAGCAGAGTCAGCCTGCAATATTGCATTCCAACCACTGCACCACCACAGCTCTTCTGCTACAGCCGCCCTGATATAATCTATCAGAAAGATTGCCACCTGGTTCCGTATGGTTGTATATTACTGATACGGTCGTCCAGCACTTCCAATGAACTCCTTTTATCTTTTCCGAGACCTTTAATATGCAAAGCCACGCTTCACTCAGCTATATGGAGGGAGAGAAAAAGATTGCTCCTATAGCCTTCCAGAAGATTGGGAAGCTAAGCTTTGTTCAGAGCCTTCAAATATTACTTATTTGTCTGAAATGGTATAGGGTTTCCTGCTTGAGATCCCTTCCAATTTTATTATTATTGTTGTGCATTATTATTATTATTATTATTATTATTATTATTATTATTATTATTATTATTATATGTGAACCTCAGTCAACTGAACATTCAAATTGATTGGTGCTTATGGTTGACACGGGTTGCTACTAGCATCCTAGGTGTCAACCAGGTACCTCCTTAAAATGTAAGATGTTCCGAGTAGCGCAGTTTTTTGTAGCATTGCTGGAGTTATTGCAGGAAGCTGCAATTTCTTGAAATATTTTGCAAACGTTTTTGGACATAGTTCCCAGTGCCCCAATGACAATGGGTATCACTGTTACACGTTTCATCCATAATTGCGCAGTTTCGATGGCCAGGTCGCGATATTATTAATAAAATAATAATAATAATAAAATTATTATTGTTATTATTATCTGTCTTTCTCTCATTTATTCTCATGTTCTTCTTCTCATCCACTCAGGGTTGCTGCTTTTCAGCACAGTAAGGCTTTGGCTATGACCACACCACCTTTGCCTCCCATCAGTCTGGACAGCCTCGTGGAAAACAGTACTTGGGTGGTCTTTCTTGGACACTCTCTCTGCTTCTCTGTTCGAGGATATCATCATGGGAAGTGTCAGTAGCCTCATCTCCGGACACAGCTTCCACAGTAAACATTGTCGGGCCTCTCAGTGCAAGCTGCGTAAGTCATCCCAACTGAAGAAGCTGAACAGGTACTCCGATGGTCTGCTGAAGTTCAGCTTCTCCCAAGAAGCTGGCCACAACAAGTCCAGCTCCAAGGGCAATAAGAACGAGGACTTCTTTTACATCAAGGTGAACCAGAAGGCACACCGAACGGACTATGCTCCACTCTCAGGTGGCGAGCTGGAAGGTCAGGCTGGGACCAGCAGCGTGGATTATGGTACCCCAACACCCCCCAAAGTGAAGCCAGGCTCCAACCAATTGGAACTAGTGAGTTGAGTTAAACTTGGTCATTAGAGTTCAGGGGTAGGAAATGGGTAGCCCCAGACTCAGCGTAGAATACTTGGATCCCTGCTTCTGTAGACTTCAGAGTCCTCGTTAATCAGAATGGTTGAAAACTGAAAAGCCAATTTCTAACTATTTTGAAGTAAGGCCATATGAAAACTGTATGACCTAAAGTGGTCATATCAACATTTAAAAAAAAACAAGAAAACCACCCAAATTTTGCAGTCCTTATTCTCCAAACTATATTAAGGACAGCCTCTGAATAGATGGACTCTTGGTTTTGGGAATCAAACGATGAAGTAATGTGGAATATACTCAAGATTTATCCTGTGGGTCGGTCAGCCTTTCAGACAACATCAGCTGACTATTGGATTAGCCAATTTTTCTGGATTTGTACAATGCCCCGAATGTTTAATTAAATAAACGGGTTAGATGCACACGTAATATTCTAGACAGTTAAGAAAAACAACCTAAAGCTCCTTGGCGCAGCGTGTTGTGTAAATACAACGGCTTCATTTGGGAAGCCTACAAACAGGATAGTAAATATAAAGGGGGGGGGACTTCCAAAAATGTAAGAGTGAAAAAATTAAAAATGAAAACATCAATATCTCCCCATCCTCATTCAATTCAAATCAAGTGCCTGCACATCATGGCTATAAATGAGGTCACCCATGTGACCAACCTGATTTTAGGACCTCTTTTGTGACAGCTGATAAAGCAAACACCATTGAGTAAACTAATGGTTCACTATAGGCCAGTGGTTCTCAACCTGTGGGTCGGGACCCCATTTAGGGTCGAACAACCATTTCATGGGGGTCGCCAAACAAGGCTGTCCGCCATTTTTTCCCCCTTTTCTTTGGCCACGCCCCTGGCACCCGGTGATGTATAAGTGGTTGGGGGTCACCACAACGTGGGGAACTGTATTATGGGGTCGCGGCATTAGAAAGGTTGAGAACTACTGCTATAGGCTGTTTTTTCCAAAAACCAGAAGTAGCCCATCATCAAACATGGTCACATGACTGTGGAACTTTGCAAATGGCCATAAATGCAGTCCAGTTGACCAGCAGTTATGTGACTGTGGGGTGGGCAGGGCTGGCCATTGTAGCTTCAAAATTGGGTCGCGAGTACTTTTAGGAAGGGCCATTGTAACTTCAAATAATTGCTAAACAACTGGTCATAAGTGGAGGACTACCCCTAGCCATAGAGGAAACCGCATTAACTAATCTCTCCTTCTCCCCAGGCTACAGAGAAGACTGTGGCAAGGCCCACTGCTTTTAAACCAGTTCTCCCTCGCTCCAACACGGTTCTCCATTCTTCTCCTGATCACGGCAATGCTGCTCAGCAGCTCCCATCTCAAGACAAAGCCAAGGATCTGGAGAGTAAGCCTGCTCTTTGTTCTGGAGGGCTTTCAGATTCAGGGAGAAACTCTATGTCCAGCCTACCCACGCACAGTACAGCCAGCAGCTACCAGCTGGACCCCTTGATCACTCCCGTTGGCCCCATCAGCCGATTTGGAGGCTCTGCTCACAACATCACTCAGTGTGCCATCCTGCAGGAGAGTAACATGATGAGCTTGAAAGCTCTGTCTTTCTCCGATGGGGGCACCAAGATCCTCAACCCGGGCAAGTCTTCCACTCATCCTCACATGACTGAGAACAGCGTTTGTGTTCGCTCACCCATCTCTACAGAGGAGTCCGCCATTAAAGAGCTGGAGCAGAAGCTGATGGAGCGGGAGGGTGAGCTGCAGGAGCTCCAGTGCAGCTTTGAAGAGAAGGAGATCATCTCCTGCCAAAACTATGAGGAGAAGCAACGGCGCTGCCGGGAGGAAATGGAAGGGTTGAAGCAGAAATGCAATAACAGACTGAAGCAGACCTCGCAGAAGAACCAGCGGGCGCAACAGCTCTTGCAGCTGCAGGTGTTCCAGCTGCAGCAGGAGAAGAAGCAGCTGCGGGAGGAGCTGTCCAACCTGATGAAGGAGCAGGACCTTCTGGAGAACAAGCTGAGGACCTATGAGAAAGAGAAAACCACCTTTGCTCCTGCTCTGGAGGAAACACAGTGGGAGGTAAGACTCTACTCCACCTTTGTAAAGAGGTAACTTTTTCAGTCTTCTGTATTGTCTAGTCAAAATTACAGGTAAAAATAAAGATTTTCCCTGTCCAGGTATGTCCAACCCCTGGGGGTGGTGCTCATTTCAGTTTCTTAGCCGAGGGAGCCAGCATTGCCCAAGGACATTTCCGTGGTCATGTGATCAACATGGCTATATGCCGGTGGTGGCGAACCTATGGCACGGGTGCCAGAGGCGGCACTCAGAGCCCTCTGTGGGCACACGCGCCGTCGCCCCAGTCCTAGGCCTTCAGCTGGGTTTTATAAAACCTTTTCACTTTAGGCCTTCACTGCCGTGTGCAAAAAAAAAAAAAAGGTTCAATCAGTCAATTTCAACTTCTCACGGCAAAAAAAAGATCTTGCAAAGTTGGAATTGATTGAACTTTTTAGTCCCACCTAATCTGCCGTTATCACCGCAGCCACGCCCACCCAATGGGCCACACCTACCCAATGGGCCACACCCAGCCAATGGGCCATACCCACCTGGCACTCAACGATGCATAAGTGGGTTTTGGATTGCAGTTTGGGCACTCGGTCTCTAAAAGGTTCGCCATCACTGCTATATGCCAAGGTGTATATAGTATACGGAACACTATTACCTTCCCACCAAAGTGATACCTATTTATCTACTCGCATTTGCATGCTTTTGAACTGCTAGATGGGCAGGAGCTGGTGCAAGGAACAGGAACTCACTCCGTCATGCAGCATTCAGGTCTCAAACCCAGGCTGTCAGCTTTAACCTCTGAGACTTCATCCTTCCTTAATCAAAATTAATACTGGTCTAAAAATGTTTTTAGTACAAAACCAGGACATACGATGATGATGCTAAATGGAATTCCCAAAGCAGAGATGTAACAGCCTGCGAATTGCCATATATTCCCTGCAATGGTAATTTAGATAAAAATGAAACAAATTGAAAGTTCCCTTTGGATGATTTTGTCCAGCATGAGCAATCTATGCTTGTCTCTCTGATTTTAGAGACCTTCTCAAGCAATGAGCTTGTTCACCAGCTCCCTGCAAAGAGAGAGAAGGGCCTTTTGCCTTTCACTGGGGCTCTGCCTTCTTCTTCTAGCTTCACCTTTATAGTTGATCCATGAAGAGATGCAGTCTTTGACCTGAAATAAAGCTACTCCATACTTAGCCCCACCCATTTTCCTGCTGTGCTGCAGACTGAATTGCAATACAATCTAGATTTCTGGAGGTGGTCCTGATTCTGATATTATGTGTTCCTACAGGTTTGTCAGAAATCTGGTGAGATATCTCTCCTGAAACAGCAACTGAAAGAATCCCAGGCAGAGGTCAACAGCAAGACCAACGAAGTCCTCAATCTGAAGGCTCAGCTGAAGGATGTCCGGGCCAAGATGGAACTGATGGAGATGAAAATCCAGGATTTGGAAGATTCGTTGCATGCCAAACCCATGGAACTAGAAGTATGTGAGAATGAACTCCAGCGGAAGAAGAATGAGTCAGAGCTACTAAGGGAGAAAGTGAACTTGCTGGAGCAGGAGATTGCAGAGTTGAGGACTGAACTGACCATCCTCAGGGAGGAGATGAAATGTGGTGTGGCTTCCATGGGTCTTGAGGAAAGCATGGCGGAGGATGCCCAAGTCCTGTGGAGGGAAATAGAGAAGCTAAAAAAAGAACTGCAGGAGGAACAGGACAGCAACAAGCAGATCACGGTCAGCTTTCAGCAGGAACGGCAGACCTGGAAAGAAGAGAAAGAGAAAGTGATCCAGTACCAGAAGCAGCTGCAGCAAAGCTACCTTCACATGTACAAAAGAAACCAAAACCTGGAGCAGATGCTTCAGCAGCTGGCGGCTGGGGAGGATGGTAAAGACCCCTTAGATCTTGATCTCCATGGAACCGATGTCCCTTATGAGGACATTATTGCCACTGAAATCTGAATCTGAAAGGCGCCTGTGTTTTCCTGCCCACTGGAGAAAGATCTCACTTGGGGTTGTATGTATAATTTCACAGAGCACTTTTAATGGAGGTCTTTTGTCTTGGTCAAAACAAGTCACCAGCCATTGTCCATGCATTCCCCCCCAAAAAAACTTCTTGATTCAGATGTATCTGACTGCTCTTGCAGGGCCTCCCATTGAGAAAAGGGAAGGGGAAAATTCCCAACTGACTTTTTCCGTCATGGAGCAGCTCTTACAAGAACCTCTGAGCCATAAGTAATATGAGATAAGACCTGCTTGTACTCTTAAGACCTTCTCAATTCCCCTGTGAGAGGACTCCGGGGTGGGGGGAAGCACACCCATTAAACTTTTAATTAAGGAAGAGGGACTTGCACATCCAGCAAGTGTTGGTCAAGGATAACCAGTCATTCCATCTTTGCAGAACATGGTGCATTCTACTGGAATATTTAAGCAGCCTATGGAACAGATAGTAGCATTGTTCCATAATTCTTGTCTGTGAAGGACCTGCCTCCTTCAGAAACGAGGGGCTAATATTTTAGAATTCCGGAAGCCATAATTTGTCACGTCAGCCACTGGATCTTCCTCATCCTTTACTCTTCTTTTAGCATTTGCCTCCTTCGTGAACAGGCTGAAGTTTGGGAGAGGCACGTTTTTATTTATTGTGTGAGTGCATGTGTCTATAATTGAGATGGACATTGGATTTTAAAATGCCCTTGTGTTCTTGAAGAGGAATGTTCAGAGCTGTTTATTTAAAATGTGAATATTTGTATGTGCTGTATGCATTATTCTTTCGCAAATACCTGGCATTTATTTTTCCACATTTCCTATTCTGGCCTGGAGAAAAGGCACATTGGATCTTCTGAGCCCAGTTCGTCTATAGATATGACTGGAAATATAGGTTTGCCTAAAAGAGATGCTGGCTTCCATTCCATGTTTTAAAAATTAAAATCTTTAGAGAAGTAAAGGAGGTCAAGCAAAGAGCTTGGAGGGAACCGAGGAATATACTATATTGACAGGCATGTAACATTATTTACTTAAAACATACATCTTGCAAAAAAAAAAATCAACACCAGTTCAAAGCAGCCAACAACAACAGTAAAACCATTAATAAACAATTTTTACATATCAATTCCTACTATATTAAGGAATTAAGAGAACCGTAGGGAAATGATTAAAAGAAGAAGCATCAATAAACATTGCTATAATAACAGTAAACAATAATACATGAATAGACTGCCTTACTAAAAAAAAAAGGTTTCTTTCTTACTTCCAGAAGTTTTAAAGGAGGGACAAGGAACAAGGTCCTGTTCCCTATCAATTTTGAGACTGCCACCATACATGGTAAACCATAATAAACAAGTATTTATTTGATTCTGTCTTCAGTATTTTTGGATACATAAACTTCCTCCTTCGCTTCCAGCACCAAAACAAAATAGCCATGAAGAGAATATTGATAAATAAGTGTTCTTGAGACCTGATTTCTGTTTAGGTAGCTTTGAGTTTCTCCTTCCCACCAAGAGGGAATGTTCCTTGTAGAGTTAAGAAAGGTCTTCACGGAATTTGGTCTGAAAGAGATTGAAAACATGGCTGCCATCCTATCCCTTGCCAATGACAGCTTAAGAAAGCAGAACAGAAAAGCACTCATGTCAAAGCAGCCACTAAAGGGCAACCAAATTATTTTGTCACTTGAGTCACAAAAAGAACCTTGTTAGTATTACAATAATAATACAAAGCAACCCAGACTGTAACCATTTTAGATGCCTAGTGTGACATCAGAAATGGAGCGCCACAATACCACGTCATGCTGTTCCACAACCGCATTCCTCGTGACTTTTAGAGCAACCTGCCGTGAAACATCACGTACAATAAAATGCCGTATCAAAAATAGACATGCAAAAAGGGGAAAGAAAAATCTGCCTTCAACCAGAGAAATTTAAATAAAGTTTAGAAGCTTTTTGAACTTGAATAGCAATAGCCTTTTACTGCCACCTGAAAGGATGTATATTTGAGTCCTTTGATTCAGAAAAATTATGTATTTCAAAGCCATATTTCAAAGACTATAATTCATTGGCAGAACAGATGCTTTTCATGCAGAAGAGTCTCAAGCTTCGAATTCAGTCCCTGGTATCTTACGGTAGGACTTGCAGACCTCTCTTTGAAATGCAGTCCTTGAAAGAAGTACTGAGTTTTGTGGGGCACTGGTTTAGCTTGGTGAATCTAACTTGCTATGTCTGTATAGTGAGGAAACCCAAAAAGCGTCCTTTTGTAGTGATTTCAAAACATTGGTTCGGTATCTAATTCTTTTCTACTGTTCCTATGAAATAGCAGAACTTTATATGACGCAAGCAGCAGCACCCAAGTCCTATCCATCTTCAGAAGATTCTCACATTCTCAAAATCTTGCCTTAACTAATGTTGTATTGGATGAACAAGGCCTAAAGCATTTGCCCTCAATACCATTTGGACTTTAAGATGCTCTAACTGCCATGTGAGAATTCCAGGATATAAAATAAACTTTGAGCCACTGTGTTCAACTAACGTGACATCATCTTGAGGCTAAATCCAGGGGATGCAAACTTGTCCACTACATTTTCTCTGCTACATATTTGCACTGAGTAATAACTTTCCTGAAGAGATTTAATATTCTTCATTTAAAGATTGTTGGGGAGGGAGATAGTTTAGTCTGCTCTAAACTGGATTTGTTTAAGTCTAGAAAAATTAACTTCCAAATGTCAGAATGTATGACTTTCTTCCATTCAAAGAGAATACTTCTTCTTCGTCTTCTTCTCCTCCTCCTCCTCCTCCTCCTCCTTTTTTGCAAACCTATTTGCAACCAGCAGAGTGGCTAAGAATCCTGTTTCTCTATGTAACTACAAACAGCAAAGCACTCTTGTGTCGCTGCATATCAAGTCTACTAGCATTTGTCACCCCCTGCCTTCCAATCAGCTAATTGGGTTGGTGCACATATGCTTCTGATTAGCAAAATTTGCATTGTTAATTGCAGTTAAACACCAGCCCGTTCCCTAGTGAAACAACCTATGGGGGCTAGGGAGTTAATTATCTCTGAATGGGAGGGACTCTGGATGGCAGTGGTTATTTTCCTGCTGAGCTGATGAAAGTTCCTCTCCTCCGTTCTGTTTGTTCTTCCACTCATTTTGCATTTGGGGCAGGATCCCAGCTGTTGGCAGGCACAATTAAACGGAGTTGTTGTGTTTTCCAAGGGGTGAAAGGTTTTTTCCCCTCCTGTGGTGAATTGTTTGGGGGCAGTGAAGACAAATTGGATATCACTTTTAATTGTAAAACGGATACCCTGGTGCCCTGCCCACCATTAACTGTCTGATTTTGTCAGTCAACATATATACAAGCCCTTAGCGCAGATCCACATTTTAGAAAATCTTCATGTAGCCAATAAAGTTTACTCCCTTGTCTCTGTCTTCCAATTCTGTCAACAAGCACAAGTCTTTACTTCTCCAGAACCCCAGTCAAACCCCAAGAAATCTCCGCCAACCTGGTATCGAGATTCATTGGAATCTTCTGTTTGGGGATCATATTGCCTCTTAATCTTCCATTAAGTTGTAAGGCAGGTTATCCATCTTTATTAAGGAAGGGAGTGGGTTATTAAGTGTGTTTGGCAAGAAAAAGGAGTGGTATGGACTACAGCTATCTAACATTTCTATGGTGGATTTTCCTTCTTGTGCAGAATTACTTATCTCTAAACAAGACAGACCTTAATATGTCAGTTTGGATGACCCAATAAATAGTATATATTTGCCTGTCCCATTTTATCCTAGCCTGGTAGGTAGACCTAGGCAGTGTCATTATTCACTATAGTAGATTGTGTATATTCAGTAAATTGGGACAATGGCTTATTTTTGGATTGCCCTTGGGAAGCATTTTAGAGCAGTGTACAAGTTCCACCCAACTCCCTTAAAACAATTTCAATCTAACACTGCTATCAATACACCTAAAAGACAGTAAACAAAGCAAAACTTGAAACAAGATTCATATTTTCAAAACTGAACAGACTGAGACCTATAATTGAGCAATTGAGACCTATAATTCCTTAGGCATGTCTTCAGTTCTCATTAGAGAAGATGGGACTAGCCATACGTCTTCAGGACTGAGGTCTATCAGAAGATGCCCACCTCTGGCTATCCCTTTACAAACCAATGTTATAAGCAGAACTTCTTCAGCTGGTCTTACTGCATGATATGGAGGAGTACTTGAGGTCCAAGACAATAAACCATGGATAACCATAGACAAACATGTTAGACAAATATAACTGATAAGCCTTAGAGCAGGGGTCTTCAAACTTGGCCCTTTTATGACTTGTGGAGTTCAACTCCCAGAATTCCTCAGCCAGCGTTGCTGGAGCAGGAGACCATATGAATTCGCCTTCAAACATGAATCTGCATTATTGATTTCTGGCAGTGGAATAACTTCCATGTTGCAGTCTCTTCGTGATATTTTTGTTGTTGTTTTATTTTGGAATCCATGTTCCATACCAGCACTTCTCCTATGAACTACAGTTTCTCTCTTTCTCTAACCTTATCCATCTATTGTCTTTCTCAGTCTCAAAATAAGCTCCCTTCTTCTTATATTTATCCATCTAATCAATTCATTGGCCAAGCTCATAATCTTGCGAAACCATAATTTATTTTAAACATGCTTTGTTGACTGTCGCAAGAGCTGGGTCATATAACACACTAAGATACTTGGGACTTCTGCAATACCAATCACAGCGGCTGGATTCATACAACCTATTCGCAAAAAATGGACAAGCTATACTGTGGCTTGCTGTGGTCTAGTTCATCTAATTTAGTCAGACTGCTCTGTTTTCAACATGGAAGATGTCAGGAATTGGATCCGACGTTTGTTGGTGAAGCTTATGCTCTATCTCGGGCTGGGGGAGTGATTCTAAGTGGTTCTCCCAAATCTGAGTGTATCTACCTCCCCTTCATCTTCTTCTATTTTACTGTGCCTAGTTGCTTGTTTCTCTCTTTGGATCTGACCTATATGATCTAGACAGAAGCAACAAGATGTGCAGAGATAATTTGCTTGGATGCGGCAAGTGGGCAATTCTGACCAATAGGATGTCCAGAAAGCTCCAAAATTGGTCATGGATCTCCCATAGATGATGGACTTCACGGGTGTCCAATGACATCTCCATCTGCCCCTAGTTCTGCTTCCTTGCATGGGAGTTACAGGCTACTAAAAGGCAGATAATTCACCATAATGGCTGTCAAGGAAGCCACTCAGCTTTCCATGACTTTGTGCCAATCCTCTGAAGCATTAGGGGGCCCATTTCATGAGCCATGTGGCCCCCTCCCCATTTAATGTGACAATGACTGCTGCCTCTGCACAAATATTGTGTTTGATCCGTGAGAGTCTGTATTGCCAGCATGTCGCTTGCCTTGTCCCACTGTGTGTGGGAAAAGTCACCATTTGGGCTATACACATTACTGTTCTTCCCATCCCACTGTCTTTTCTTCAATATAGCTCTTGCCGGTTTTTCATATATTAAAGTGTAATTTCTGGTGAGCAATGTAAACGGACTCCTATGTTTTTTAATGTAGAAATAAATTTGTAAAAATCAGAGTCAAGCTGTTGGAAAGCTCTTGTGTTCCATCCCCTGAATTGAAATAGACCCTATGCTTATATGCCAGGATAATCTCTTCTCCTAATTATCTCATCTACCACATGACAGCCTGAAGGACAAGGAAGCCACGAAGAAACAGGAACTAACACATTGAGTGTGATCTCCTATGGCAAGGGAAAGTACAGTTATGAGTCTAGCAAACTGTTACAATAAAGCTGAAGATGACAAGAGCTTTAGATATCTTCTCCTCATCCTTCTCTTCCCTTTCCCATTCCCTACCCCATCCCATACTTCAGTTGTTCAGATTCCTGATTTATGGCAGATGCTGCATTATGCCTACACACACAGGCTCCTCCATCTAATTCTGCCCTGCAGAAACTATCACTCAGCACACTAAATAAAACCAGAAGCAGTCCATCTGCTACCTGTGAAGTCCTTATGGGATAAATGAGAGCAAACTCTGTTTCAAGAATGTTGGAAAACCTTTGCATAAAGATTACTTGCTACCATGTTGGGCTATTACTGCCTCAACAATATGATGAAGGGGGGGAAAAGCCTGATTTCTTGATTTTTTTTTTCAGTTTTGTTTTTCTAAACCAGACTGAAGAATCCTTGGATAAAACAGGGAACAGCAGTATTTGACCTCTGGCCAGTTTACTGGGAAATAAGTCCTGGATGAACCAGAATAATTTCATTATTTAAACAAACAAACAAAAATCCCAGTATCTCATTAAGGGATCCCATTCAATATCTAAATGGAGATGTGACTCAGATCAATTTCATCCTATTGCTTTTCAGTGTGTTGGACTTCAGTTCTCACTATTTCTAACCAACATGGCTAAGAAACCAAGCCTTGGGTTTCTTTTCATTGGTGACTAAACACCCAATTTCTTAAGCTACATTTTAATTCACCTGAGTATCAGTCCTTGAGCGTCACTAAGTGACTCTAGTCTAGAACAAGCAAGAGCTGGAGAATCTTCTTGGATGAGAAGCAAAACGTCTTCAAAGAAAATCAAGAAAAGTCCAGTTGCCTCTTGAAAGAGCACCTTTGGGACAACCATGACCTGGATGACTGAGAATCTCCACAGACATTTAGAACAAGCAAGACATTTTTGCTCTCTCACTAAAGCAAGAGCATGGCGTGCATTTACTTCTCTCATGTGGTGGCTGGTGGTTTTTGTTCTGTAATTTTTTGATATTCATCGTGCATACTTGCACGAGCATAAATGCATCATGTGCCACTGCTGCCTTGTCTCTCTTCACACTTGCACGGTGCTTAGACCCTACCATTCTTTCTCCTAAGTCTTAATTACAGGCATCCAAGTATTTAGCAGCCTTTATAGAAGTGAGAGGTAAGCCAATTAGACTAGTGGGATCAAAAATAACAGGCCCATTTTCTTACTGTGAGGGTTCTCCTGTTAGCACTGATTTCTAAACGATGACTTCCGTATCATAGCCTAGGAGGTGATACAGAAGTGGAGAGGGAGGACAGATCTATACAGTTCTAAAGAAAGTCCAGATTCTTTAAAAGCAGTAGTTCTTTTTTCCTCCACTGGCATCATTTCAGCAGAGAATAAATCAGGGGTCTTCAAACTTGGCCCTTTTATGACTTGAGAACTTCTGCGTGCCTGGCTGAGGAATTCTGGGAGTTGAAGTCCACAAGTCATAAAAGGGCCAAGTTTGAAACGCCCTGGAATAAATGATCAGAATGGGAACCAAGAAGTTCAGAGGTGTTCAGAGCTACTAGAAGCAGTTTCTTCCATGTGTCAAGACTGATTGGGGACAGTTTCACATAACCAAGTTATTTATTCCCAAGATGGATCTGAGCTTTTCTGTTGAGTTATAGTTCTGTCATCCACTTCCCTTCTTTCTCCTCTTTAAATGTGTACAAATAGTCCTCGACTTGAGGACTAAACTCCTGTTGCTAAGTGAGACATTTCTGAGTGAGTTTTGCATCCTTTCTTGCCACCGCTGTTAAGCGAATCACTGCAGTTGTTAAGTTAGTAACACGGTTGTTAAGTGAACCTGGCTTCCCCCATTGACTTTGCTTGTTAGAAGGTTGCAAAAGGGGATCACATGACCCTGGGACTCTACAACCGTCATAAATACATGTCAGTTGCCCAGTGTCTGAATTTTGATCATGTGACCGTGGGGATGCCACACAATGGCCATAAGCGTGAAAAACAGTCATAAGTCACTTTTTTCGGTGCGGTTGTAATTTGAACGGTCACTAAATGAACTGTTGTAAGTGGAAGACTACCAGTGCTGTAATCTAGTAAACCCAAATGGACTAGAACAGTGGTTCTCAACCTGTGGGTCGGGACCCCATTTGGGGTCGAACGACCATTTCACGGGAGTCGCCAAACGACGCAGTCCTCCATTTTTTTTCCCCCTTTTCTTAGCTGTGCTACTCCCTTTTATTCTATTGGCTTTTGAAAGCCAATAGAATAGACTCTCTTGAATAGAGTCTAATTCTATTGGCTTTCAAAAGCCAATAGGAATTGTCCAGGCTGTCTCTGCCCTGCTGAGCCCGCCAAAAGTCCCATTCTGCAAACGGTGCTGCACCAGTTGAGTAGTCCTCGACTTACGACCGGTTGGGGGTCGCGGCATTAAAAAGGTTGAGAACCACTGGACTAGAAACTCCTCTCTCAGAAGGCTTGCCTTTACTGCCTTTATGCTTTCGTGGCTTGTCAGTTTCAGAGACAGCAATTGCCTTGAACTGGAAGTTTCATATCCATGGAAACAATGAGTCTATCGAAGATTGTTGTTCACTTGGAATCTCCTGGTCTTACTAGTTGATAACTACAGGGCAAAAATCAGGGCTGCACTTTGTACACAGTGCAAAATACTTTTAAGATCGATGCTAGTTTTTTTCTAGCACTGCTTGGAAGGTTCGCTCTCCATCCAGGGTTAAAGTTTTTACTGACTGTTGGAGTGATGAGATAAAGGTAGCATTGGATGAATTAGCTTCAGACTTGTTAATTTCTTACCCTCTGCTCTGCTCTCCTCTTCTTGCTGGACTGTAGAAAGGTTAGAAACATGTCCTTTAATTAACAGCCCACATGGCCAAAAGAGTCCCAAAGCAAAGCAATGTTTGGAGAGAGCTAAAGAAAGAAAAAAGAAATGTAGCCCCAAATGATGCCATCCATGTCAGTTCGGCTTTTTCTGATGAATCCACAAAAGCAAGCCTTCAGCAAACCCCCACCTGAATGTAGCGTGCATGAAGGGTTACAAATCAGGAAAGGGGACCTCAATTATTGCACACTTGCTTGGCATAGTCTTCGCCTGACCATGCAACACTGGGACGGAATGGGCCGCTTTGATCCATTTGTCCTGCACCAATCCACCTGGAAGCATTCTTTTGCCGGGGAACATGTTGGGAGAGGCACAGACTTTTGTCTATCTGGAAAAGAGTCTTCTTCACTGCCCCATCTCAGCGGACTGTGAGATGTCCTTTGAATCCCCAGGAAACCTGCTGGTTTTGCAGGAAACCCCCCCCCCCATCTGCCATCCCTAATCTCACGAAAGCCCCAAGGCTGCTGTAGAAAGCGAACACAAAGGGAAGTCATCCTGATCAGAGGAAAAGGGATGTAACTCTCCTCTTCTACAAATTCTTCTTTGACATGCAGATCGGCCGCCGCTGTCCATCTCCTCCCTCGGCACACGTCTTCCAACAGTGTTGCCTGCCTTGCATCTGCCAGCTCGGCCCCATCGGCCCCCTTGGGGAAGGTGTGGGGCAAGAATCAATGTTTGTTCTGCTCTGTCCCTTTAATGAAGAGCCAGCTGCTCTTCGCCTCTCCAAGGGACTGACATCAGGTGGCGGCAGGGCAGACCCTGTGGGCAGTCTTCATTAATTGGTACTTTGGCAAAAAAATTAAGACTTAAAGTGGGGAAATGTACCAGGGCAGCAGCTGGGAGGGTTGTGGGTCCCATTTAATGTGTTACCTGCTGCCTCGCCTGCCTGATGTGATAGATTAGGTTGTTTGTTTAACATCCAGCTAAGTGCCCCGTGCATGACGTGCATGTCCTTTGAGGCAATCAAAACATGACCGAACAGGCTCGGACTATTCTGCTTAAGTTTTAGACAGAGGAAAAAGGGAAAGCCTCTGTTTACCCTGGAAGCTGTCATCACATACCCTACCCTTAATCCTGAAAAAGAATAAACACATTGGTGTAGCACTTTAATGCAGACATGTCAAACACAAGGCCCGGGGGTCGGATGCAGCCTGCGAAGTGGTTTCATGTGGCCCGCGAAGCCATCCTGGAAACAGTGAGGGAACGGCCCCCGCTGCCTTGGCCCTTGTCCAGGCCAGCCAGGAGCCAATGTACAATTTTGTGGTGGCCATCTATGCTGAAACGCATTCAGCTCCACAAGGCCGTCTGGAAACAGCGAGGAACCGGCCCCTGCTGCGTCGGCCCCGCACCCTGGGTGCATGCTGGGGAGGTGTCACCCTTTGTGAGGAATGAAGAAATGGACCATGCCTTGGCGCTTGCCCTGGTCCCACCCCCTTCTGCCAGAGACCCTCAGATCTGTCCCACTTCTGCCCAGGCCCCCACAGGCACCCTTGATGTGAACAGTGTCGAGCTGGCCATGCCCACCCAGTAGGCCATACCCACTCCATCCATGCCCATCCAGTAGGCCACACCCACCCTGGCCAAATCACCTGGCCCACTGAGGGCAACCGCAGTGCTGATGCAGCCCTCAATGAAATTGAGTTTGACACCCCTGCTTTAATGGGATGCTAAGTCCATCAGCTGGATAAACAGCATCCATCTTGGAAAAAAGGGCATCTTTACCACTTGGTTAAACCTCCTTACATATCTACCAGGAATAAATTGGGTCCACTTATTTTGTTTGTTTTAAGGACCTTTTGCTAGGGGAAAGTTCCTGGTTTTGTTTGAGTATCATCCACCTCGTGTTGCAAGTCACCAAAAGATCATCTCACTTTGT